CATAAAATCCTCTGTTTGCTTTCCAGACGGAGAGCAGCCACGAGACTTGCTGGGACCTGTGCTGACCCTTGCCGTGCAAGATGACAGCAAGAGACGGGCCCCAAGATAGGTAATGCCAGGCTCCGGTGTGGGCCTGGGGGCACATCCAGGATATCAGGAGGTGAGGGAGGACAGATGGACTCAGCATCTGAGGGACTCCCTCTCCTGCATGCTCACTGGGCTACTGAGCTGTGCCTTCCCTCCTGAGCTGCTCTCTCCATCAGCTTTTCCACAGCAAATGGGCTGTAAACAGTCTCTGGTGCTGGGACACGCCTGGGGAGCGTGACTCCCACCAGCTCTGGCAGTGACCACTGTGCATGTGTCTGGGTGCCACGTGCCAAGGAGCAGCCAGTCTCCCCCCACCTTCGTACGCCCCTGGGAGGGTCTCCCACAGCCTCTCTGCAGCACCACATCTCCTCCAGCAGCCCAGGCTAGCAGGGGCTGTGGGGCAAGGGCTGGGACAGAGCAAGAAATTATGTCCTCCCTCCTGCTCCTGGTGCCTCTGGCTGCAGGGCTGGGGACAGTCAGAAGGGATGCCTTGTTCTCTGCCCTGCACAGACTCCTGCTCCAAACCACTCTGTTCCTTCTGCAGGTACAAGGCTGTCTGGCTGATCTTCTTCATCCTCGGCCTGGGAACACTGCTGCCATGGAATTTCTTCATGAATGCCAGGGAGGTAAGGGCTTCCCTCCCACTGCTGCCCATGACACTTAATTGCCCCGTGTCACCTCTAGGGACCATGTTGTAGCTGTGGCAATATGGAACGGCATAGAACCCCTGCATTTGCATGCAGGAGACAGAAGCGTGGGTGACCTGGGTGGGACAAATGACACTGAGGTGGCAGGAAAAGCCCTGGGCTGGGCATGGGGCTGGAGGGGGGATAAGGGTGGCCTGAGTGTGCTGGGGGGGAGGCCTTGCAGCACCTCAGCCTCACCACGCTCCTTCCCACAGTATTTCATCAACCGCCTTGTGGACTCGGAGGAGATGAGCCACTTAGGGAACAAGACTGGTGGGGCTGCCTCGCCCCTCTCCTACCTGCAGTCCATGTTTGACAACTTCATGACTCTCTGCTCCATGGTGCCCCTCCTCATCTTCACCTGCCTCAACTCCTTCATCCACCAGCGGTGAGCCTTGCCTTGTCCTTTCCCCCACCAGCCCCCATAGGGCTGTCCAGCCCTGGCCCGTTCTGCCCCAGCACTGAGCCAAGCCAACCACAGCCCGTTCAGTCAAGTCAAAGGCAAAACATCAGTCTCCTGTGCTGGGGCTTGGCTGGGATCCCCGTGGGAGAGCTTGGCCCCAGCCTCACAGGCTGCAGCCTCATTGAGACCCTCTCTTGCAGGATTTCCCAGCAGATCCGCATCTTGGGCAGCCTGATGGCCATCGGGATGGTGTTTTTAGTCACTGCAATCATGGTGAAGGTCCCCATGGAGCCTCTTCCCTTCTTCATCTTTACCATGATCAGCATCATCTTCATCAACTGTGCGTGAGGCAGCGGGGGGAAGGAAAGGGGCACAGCCCCATGGCTATGACTGATCTCTCTGGGAGAAGAGCATGAACCTCACTGTGGGAGAACCAAGGAGGAGGGGAACCTGCCTTGTCTCGCAGGGCAGGGGCCTTGGCTCCCCACAGAGGTGGAGTGCGTCCTTGCCTTTGGTTTCTCATTTCTGCTTATCTTTCCCCTTCACAGCCTTCGGCGCCATCCTCCAGAGCAGCCTGTTTGGGCTGGCAGGGCTCCTGCCTGCCAGCTACACAGCTCCCATCATGAGTGGGCAGGGCTTGGCGGGCACCTTTGCTGCTTTGGCGATGATCTTCAATATTGCCAGTGAGTAATCCCTGCACTGGGCCTTCCCAGAGCATTGCTGTCAACAGGATCTGCTGGGGTCACTCACACTGCACGGTTGGGTGGGGGATGGCAGCAGGGCCTCACTCCTCTCAGCCTTGGTCATCTTCCTTTCCCCCCAGTCTCCTCCCTTTCTGTGCTCCCAGTTGGTGCCCAGCAACCTGAGAGCTTCATCGGTTACTTCACCACGGCCTGTGTGGCGATCTTGCTGGCAATCTTCTCCTACATGCTTCTGCCTCGCATGGTGAGACTCTGTTGTCCTTGTTGGGTAGGGTTTGGGGATGTGGGACCTTGGCACATCACAGCACAAAGACCATGGCCCACTAGCACCCCAGCCTCGGTTCCTGCCAGCCTCCACCTCCTGGATCAGGGCAAGCTCTCGCCTGTCCTCTGTGGAATGCTTCCCACCTCAGATACCCCACTATCTTCAGAGTACCATGGAAATGAGCCCCTGAGTGAGCAGGAAAGCCCAAGTTTTGGACATAAGTGGGAGGAATGCTTGGCCCATATTGCATTTGCACATATCTGCTATTACCACACAGCCCCTGGCAGCCTTCTTTCCTCATGTGTGAATGAGTTCTTTGTGGCTGTCTCTCTGTAGGATTTCTTCCGATACTACTCCATGAAGGACAAGACAGAGTACCGTGTGTACAATGCAGAACTGGAGACCAAGAGAGACTTGATTAAGAAAGGTGAGGGGCTGAGAGGAGGAAGAGGAAGGAAAAAGAGGAAGAGCTGAGAGGAAGAATGAGACAGAAGGACTAAATTAGATCCCAGCTTTCTGGGGTCTGCTGTGCCCTACTTGTGTCTCTCCCTGCAGATGAGCCCAATGGGATGGAGCAGAATAACTCAAAGATCATCCCTATCCACAACCCTGATGAGAAGCCCTCGGTTGTCGCTATTTTTAAGAAGGTCTGTGAGCTGCCAGCAACCCCTGCCCTGCCCCTCATATCAGGGGATGGGCACAGGTGTAGGAGAGCATGGGGAGAGGAGACCAGCCCTGCACTGGCCTCCTGCCTTGTGTTTGGTACCAGCCTCTTTCTTTCATTTGCCTAGCTCTGGGTCATGGCTGTGTCTGTCTGCTTCGTCTTCACTGTCACCATTGGCGTCTTTCCTTCCATCACTGCTAAGGTGTCCACTGTCCTTGGAGAGGGAAACAGATGGGGTAAGTATGGTGGTGGGCATGCGGTGGGGGTAGGAGGAAACTAGGAACAAGGTAAATGGGAGGAAAGAAAGTGGGGCTTGAAGTAGAAGGGGTGCGTGAGGGGAAGAGGAGACCATTATGCATGATGGTTTGTATGCGGACACCAGCCCGGCTGGGAGAGCATTCCAGACCTAAGTGGGAAACAAGAAAGACCCAGGCCTGAAAGATGGTCACCGTGCAATCGGCAGGAGGTCCTGGGGTACCCTGGGCTCATCAGTGACCTTCTACCCCTTTGCAGGTCTCTACTTCCTCCCTGTCTCCTGCTTCCTGCTCTTTAATGTCTTCGACTGGACTGGACGGAGTCTCACTGCCCTCTTCACATGGGTAAACATGGGGCAAGGAGCAAATGCCCAGGCACTTCTCATCCCCAGGCCCCTCAGCCGTGGCTGTCACTGGGGCTGCCATCCATGGCTTGGAGGAAGGAGGTGCAGAGCTGACTCCTGCACTGGCTTTGAGTCCTAAGCAGAGATTTATGGGCCAGAGCTGAGAACCACAGTGTTGTCGTGTCTTCCTCCCACTCTTCTTTCAGCCTGGCTTGGGTGAAGCTGCCTCCTCCATTTCAGCCTCTTTGTAAACAAAGCTTCACTCCAGCTATGCAAACAGCCAGGCAGGACGGTGGCAGGGAATGAGGGTGAAAGGCAGGGCAGCCCAAAATAAAACCTCTGGCCTCCGCACAGGACACAGCTGCTTTAAGAACCTTGTCCTGGCAGCAGGGCACAGCCACGCCACATCACAGAGCTGTCCCCTGCTGCATCCTCTTGCTCTCGTCTCCCCTACCTGGCTCAGAGCTGCTGGGGCTGAGTGATGGGAGCTGTGATGGGGGTGGGCAAGAAAGGGGGCTGTCCTGTCTGTGTCTCTTCCTGCCGTTCACCCACCCCCCAAGCGCCGTTTCCCCCTGCATTGTTCAGGCTGTTTGTTTAGAGAAGCTCCTCAGCACCACGCACCATGGGGTCTGTCCAGGCCTGGCTTCCCCATGGCCTGGAGCTGCTTTTCCCCCAGCCATCGCTGCTGGCTGCCCTCAGCCTTGGCCACAAGCCGTGTTGCCTGGTGTCCTGGCCGCAGCCTCCGCATTGGGATGACCCAGCAAGAGACGTTTCCAAAACAAGGCCGTGTGGAAAGTCTGACTGTGTGTGGTTTGGGCCTCATTTCCCTGGTTGGGGCCCCGCTTGCTCCTTTGCTCCTCCTCGGGCAGGGGAGGCTGCTGGTCTTGCCAGCTTGCCCACAGACACGGCAGCTGGCCTCACCTCAGCTTCCCCCCGTGTTCACGAGGCATCCCATGGCTATGCCAGCCCAGGCAGCTCCTGAGGCAGCTGTGGGTCCCTCCTGACCCCAGACCAGTGAGCCCTGTCATCTGCAACCTGGCATCACTGAGGGGACCCCAGACAGAGCCAGGCGCATCTTGTACCAGGGGCATCCCCTGGTCCCAACTGCAGGGACAGCACAGGAGGATGGCGCCTCCTTCACCCCAGCCTCACACATCCAGGGACCTTGCTGGGATCTGAGGAGACCTTAATTTGGTCTGTGCCTTTCTCAGCACTGTCCAAAACAGCCCCAGCATAATCCCTTTCCCACATTGCTGGATCTCCCCCGCTTGGCTGGGGGATGGCGTAGGAGGCTGAAGAGCTGGTTAAAGCCCAGTGTGCAGGCCCTGAGTTGCCAGAGGGGATTTACCTCAGCTAGCCTTGTCCTGCGTGGCGGTTCACTGCAGGAGGAGGTTGTTGCGTGAGCGTGCACGAGGCTCTCCTGCCTGCTTGTTGTTTCCAACAAGGGCTTAGCAGTTGCTCACAAGCCCAGCTCAGTATTTTGGCTCTCCGAGTTGGTTGGGGTCGGACTTCAGGGCAGTAGTCAGACCTAGCAGGAGCTCCTTCCCATAGCAAGTGGTGATGCTGAGATTTGTTCCAGCAGAGAAAGTCTCTCGGCAACTTTGCCCTCTCTGTGGCTCCTCTGCAGCCCCGGTGCAGTAGGGACAGCCAGCTTCTGTATAGCCCCTGCTGGCATGCCAAGAGCTGGGGAACGTTCACTTCTCAGCTGCTCAGTGACCTGTGTTTTTCTCCCAGCCCGGGAAGGACAGCTGCCTCCTGCCAGTGATGGTGGCCCTCCGTGTCATCTTTATCCCTCTTTTCATGCTGTGCAACGTGCAGCCCCGTGACTACCTGCCTGTCGTATTCTCTCATGACGCCTGGTACATCATCTTCATGATCTTCTTCTCCATCTCCAACGGCTACCTGGCCAGCCTTTGCATGTGCTTTGGGCCCAAGTGAGTAAGAGCTGGGGACAGGGGAGGGTTAATGGTTAATGCACCGATGCCAGCCGCAGCATGACTGGAATCTGGCTCTGCCCAGCTCTGGCATCTGGAGAAGGGGATGCAGGCACAGAGGAGAACTGACACACCACCTTGGGGAAGACAGCCTCCGTGTCCCATCTCCCAGCCTTGTGCCTCCATATCCTAGAGGAAGCTATTGTTTGGGCTGTCCATTTCCCCCACCTGCCATGCTAGGGAAGGGGCTGGACACAGCACGGATTTGGCTTTTTCTTTCTCAATGAGCCCGTGATGTGGAGGCAGGCTCTTGGAGCCAAGGTGTATTTGCTCTTGCTAGTCCTCTGCTGCAGAGGAGCACAGCTTCTGGCTTCTCTGTGGCCTCTTCCCATCCCTCTGTTGACCTTAGGGCAGGGCATGGGGCATGCATCCCCGAGGACGGGTCTGACACCTGTTTCTCCCCTAGGAAAGTGCTTGCTCACGAAGCAGAGACAGCTGGAGCCATCATGACCTTTTTCCTGTCCCTGGGATTGGCCCTAGGAGCTGCCATCTCCTTCCTTTTCCGAATTCTCATCTAGCAGAGACACCTGGAGGGTGCAGGGACACCGAGAGACGGCTCCACATCCTCCTCCGAGGCCCTGGACACCTTGGCGCCGTGGGGAGATAACACCTCATGCCTGCCCCTGCCAAATCGCACTGCCATGGCAGACGTTGCACCCAGGGACGGTTCCACTCCTGCAGGGTTGGCCTGGCTCCTGCCACACTTGGCTGTGTGATGCCTTCAGGCCTACGTGCCTTCTCCTTCCCCATGCTGTGTGTGTGTAAGACCCCCGGGATCTCACAGAGGTCCAGTTGCCTCCCACGCTGCGTAATTTCCCCAGCTCCAGGCCAAAAGCCATTCTCAGCCTCTTCCTCTCTGACAGAGTTGAAGGCTGGTATCCAGTGTTATTCCCTCTCTTGCCCTTGTTCCCAAAGTACCTAGGGACTTGCTCTCCTCTCCTCTCCTTCCAGGGGGCCTGGAAACATCCCACACCACTTCTCCTGCTGGTGAGACTCGCAAATAGGGAGGAGAGCCCCAGCCAGCCTCACCATCCCTGCTCTCTGCTAGGCATACATCTGCCTGTGCAGCAGCATCCCAGGGACATAGACGTCTGTGTCCCACTCACATAAAGAGCCAACCCCGTGGCTAGGCTGAGGGAGGAGGGGGTCTCCACACTCCACCTTCTCCTTGCCTTTGTTCCCTACTTACCTTTTTTTTTTTTTTTTCTTGGTGATTTTTGCAGTTTTCTTTCTGCCTCCTGGTTGTGTGACAGGAGGTCCCATCATGGGCTGCAAGAGGAGAGGTGGCAACTTCCTTCCCACCCAGGCTGCCTTCCCTTCCTGCCTGTGCTGGAGGGGGGAGGCCTCACCTCTCCCTTGGCTTTCCCATCCCTTGTCTGTGTAAATGTGTCTGTACAGTTGCCATTTTCTATAAAAAGATTGAAATGCCCCTTGGGGTGTATGTGTGTGTGTCTCCATCACCACAGGGGAGAGGGCTGCGAAGGGGCAAGGGCCGAAGGGAGCTGGCACCAGAATTTCTATAATCACAGAATTGTTGTGGTTGGAAAAGACCTTTATGATCAGAGTGCAGCCATAAACGTAGCACTGCCAAGTCTACCTCTAAACCATGTCCCTAAGCACCACATCTACACATACCTCCAGGGATGGTGACTCTACTGCTTCCCTGGGCAGCCTGTTCCAATGCTTGACAACCCTTTCAGTGAAGAAATTTTTCCTAATATCCAATCTAAACCTCCACTGGCACAATTTGAGGCCATTTCTTCTTGTCCTATCACTTGTTACTTGGGAGAAGAGGCTGTGACCCACCTTGCTACAACCTCCTTTCAGGTAGTTGTAGAGAGCGATAAGGTCTCCCCTCAGCCTTCTTTTCTCCAGAGTAAATTTCCTGGGCATCCCTGGGGTCCCTTGTAGCCGGCATCAGGCAGTGAAGTAGCGTGTGCATTCCCCGCATGGAGAGGTCCAGCGGCTCTCCGCTACGGGCCAGCGTGGGTGCTGCCCTCAGAGCCTCTGGTAAGGGGACGTGCCTGCACATTTTGGGGTGCAGTGACCTGTGGCACACAGCTGGGAGCCTTCCTTGTGCTTTTCCTTGTGGGAGCAGCTGGAGTGCCACCTCCTGCTCCTGGGTGGGGAACTACACCAGCCCACACACCACCTCTGCCCGTGAACAGCATTCACAGCCATTGCCTCCTTAACCTCCCCGGCCAAAAGCTGTAGGGCCCAGGTCCCCTCATCCCACTCCTGGCTTCCTTCGCCAGTCAGCTCCAGCTCCACGTGATGAGGATGCTCCCCACTGGAGATGGTGCTCCTCTGCTGCCAGGAAATAGTCCCTGGCCAGGAGCAGACCCGGCAGCAGTGTGGAGCTGAGGTTGCATGCCCACCTCCACCATGGCTGCTGCTGTTAAACAGCAACGCTGATGGGCCCCACACCGATCTACCATGGTGCCTGAGGCAGGAAGCATCAGTGGGACCGACCCATAGAGGCTGCAGACAGGGTAGACAGGGCAGCTGTAGCTCTTTGGCCAGTCCCTCACACTCAACACCTTCTACTCCAACAAGGAGATCTTCCTGAAGAAGCTCATCTCCAACACCTCTGACATGAGCCCAGGCCCCACTTGCCCTGTGGGTCTCGTTCCTCTGCTGGGGAGCTCAGGGAGAGGCTGTGCTGGGGAAGAAGGTGAGCAGGGAGGCTGTTGAGAAGGGAGGCAGTGGTGAGCATCACCCTCTCCCCTAGGCGCTGGATAAGATCCTCTCTGAGATCCTGACTGATCCCTCAAAGCTGGACAGCAGTAAGGACCTCAGGACTGACATAGTCCCCAACCCCCAGGACCACACGTTCACCCTGGTGGACACTGGCATTGGGATGACAAAAGCGGACCTCATAACAACCTGGGTACTATTGCCAAATCTGGTACCAAAGCCTTCATGGAAGCCCTGCAGAAGGGTTGCCTTTGGCCACATGGATTCCCCAGGGCCTGGGCTACAGGCTCTTACCAGGGTATAACTCCAGCCCTGCTCCTCTTTTTGCTGTGGGGGCTGTTGTCCTACCTGAACTTGCTTCTGTACCTTGCCAGCAGCAGGGAGGAGCTGAGGGTAGAGCTGGCTGCTTGTTGACACTTGCCTCATTTTCTCTGCATGCTGACCCAGTTCTTTGCTGCTGTGAATCAGTTGCAGGCATCTCCTGTGTCTTCACTGATCTATCAGTCTGCTTTCACAGGCTGGTGCAGATGTCTCCATGATTGGGCAGTTTGGTGTGGATTCCTATTCTGCCTATCTAGTGTCTGAGAAGGTTGTTGTCATTACCAAACACAATGATGATGAGCAGTATGCTTGGGAGTCATCAGCTGGGGGTTCCTTCACTGTCTGAACTAACCATGGTAGGTATTGTACCAAAAAAAAGGGGATTTCTTTGCTAGAAGCACTTCTTCTCCTGGTGCTTCCTAGAGCTGTGCTGCATTGTCAGTCACGCTGGTTAATGCTGGGTATCAAGTAGTGCTTAGGCTCAAGGAGCTGGTCCAACTTGCTCTCTGCCCTTTAACACTATGCCCTGAAATGCTGCTCTCTCCCCACACCACAGGTGAGCCCATTGGTTGGGGCACCAAAGTGATCCTGTATTTGAAGGAGGACCACACAGAGCACTTGGAAGATCGGCGTGCCAAAGAGGTGGTGAAGAAGCACTCCCAGTGCATTGTCTACCCCATCACACCCTGTGTACATAAGGGAAGGACCGTGGGGACCCACTAAAAGGCTGGAGGCAGAGGTGGGTGGTGTTGGGAGCAGGAGCCCAGAAAAGGGCAGAGTACGGTCTCTTGTCTCCCCATCCATAGGTCCTGACTGCTGGGTATTGAGCAGTGGTGCTCCCAGCTTCTGTGGTCAGAAGTGATTTGAGGCTGGGTATGTACTGGAGATGAAGGCGGTGGGTATCCAGCCATGCTTTGGACCTTTAACCTGTGCAGCTGGAGGTCATCTAAACCAGCCATGGAGAGAGGAGAGTTTCCTGCCCCATGTCTCATCTTCTCAGACACAGCTTTTGGTTGCAGGAGTTGTGGAGGAACTCTGAAGGCTGATTTCAGGAGAAGCCTTGGCTCCAGATGTTGCATTTGTTGGGCCTCGGAAGACACCTATTTCTCAAATCTGGAGCAAATGGATTCCTGCTAACAGTTGCTTGGGGCTAAACCTGACTCTTGCTTGTCCCTTTCTCCATAGCTGGAGAAGGAGCCTGAGAAAGAGATCAGTGATGATGAGGCAGACGAGGAGAAAGGTGAGAATGAAGAAGAAGAGTCAGCATCTGAAGATGAGGAGAAACCCAACATCAAAGATGTGGGCTCTGATGACAATGAGGAGGAGGGAGACAAAGGCAAGAAGAAAAAGACCTAGAAAAATCAAGGAGAAATATATTGACCAGGGGGAGCTAAACAAGACCAAGCCTATTTGGACCCACAACCCTGATGACATCACCCAACAGGAGTATGGGGAGTTCTACAAAAGCCTCACCAACAACTTGGAGAACCACCTGGCTGTTAGGATGGGAGCTGGGCCATGCTGGCTTCCAGAGAGAGGCAGAGGTCCCCTTTCCAGGGAGCCACCACATGGTTGTGCCTCAGTGGGACATGAGGGCTCCTGGGCTGCTTGGTGCTGCCTCCGCCTGCGCTGTGACTCCCGTGCAGGTGGAGAGGTTGGTTAGTGCCAGCCTAGAAGCAGGACAGGAGGGAGGTGGGCCTCAGAGAAGCATGACATGTCCGTCCAGGCCTGCTGGATGCAAGAGACCCCTGGCACGTAGGGGGCAGTGGGGCTGAGGAGGGGGAACTGCAGTCTGCTGGGATGCTGGACACTGCTGTGCCCCCCTGCCAGCCTTAGTGCTGAGGAACAGCAGTTCAGCCTGCCCACAGCGGGTCCTGGGGGAAGCAGAAGGGAAGAAGGTAGGAGGGGAGCACTCCAGCACCTTCCTGGCACCGCAGCACTTTTCCATGAAAGCACAGCTGGGGTTCAATCCTACGCCACGCCCCTTTTGACCTCTTTAGGAACAAGAAGAAGAACCTTAAGCTGTAGGTGAGGCATGTCTTCATCATGGACAGCTGTGACGAGCTCATCCCTGAGTACCTAAGAAGGAGCCCCCGCCTCAGCCCCCCAGTGCAGAGCTGGGACCCCCATGGCCTGTGGTACCACTCCCAGTACAAAGCAGCTGGATGAGGCACTAGCTGGTGTAGGGGCACAGCAGTAAGTGCCTTAGCACTTTTCCTCCTGTGGTGAAGCTCAGAGCTCTTAACCTGACTCTTTTCTTCTCCCCTACTCAGACTTCATCCAGAGTGTTGTGGACTTGGAGGACCTGCCTCTGAACATCTCTCATGAGATGCTCCAGCAGAGCAAGATCCTCAAGCTGATTCGCAAAAACATTGTGAAGAAATGCTTGGTGCTCTACTCTGACCTGGCAGAGGACAAAGAGAACTACAAGAAATTTTATGAGGCCTTTTCCTAGAATCTGGAGATGAGCTGGGCACCTGGCACCTGGAGGAGGGAGGGGCCAGTGACCCATCTGCCTGAAGAGCAATCTTGTCTCTGTGCCCTGCCTTCTCTGTATGGATGTTAGGACAGAGGAGGTCTCACAAGTGCCCTGGAGAACCTTTGGGGGCAGCTGGTCCCTCTGGCTGCCCTAGGCCCAACACTCAAATGATCAGGGACGGAGATGGCCGTGCCTCGGGGGTGGCCAAGTGCATGCAAGTCCCATCCTGGAGGCTTCATGCATCTCTTCTGCCCCCAGCTGGGCATCCACCAGGAGTCCACCAACCGAAGGGGCCTTTCGGAGCTGCTGTTACCACACGTCCCAGTCAGGGGATGAGGTGACTTCGCTTTCAGAGTACATGTCCCATATGAAGGAGACCCAGAAGAGGGATGAGCTACTACATCACAGGTGAGCCAGCGTTCCTCCGTGCCCTGGAGAGGTGGAGGCAGGTTACCTGCCTACCAGCCCTCACTTAATTAATTAATTAAGTAATTAAGCATTTTTTTCCAGGTAGGTCCTGCTGCCTTCAGCAGGTCCTCCTTGCTGAATCACAGCCTGTCCCTGGGGGCTGGGGAAAGACCACCAGGCCTCGAGCCCTGGGTGCAGCCAGTCTGATGCTAGGGGTTCCGAATGGCTGCTGCTGTTTGTCCTGCTCTAACCAGCTCTTTCATCTTGGTGACATCTCATTTCTACCCTCCGCAAACATAGAGGAGAGCAAGGAGCAGGTTGCCAACTCAGCCTTTGTGGAGCCTGTGCAGATGTGTGGCTTTGAGGCTGTGTACATGATGGAGCCCACTGATGAGCACTGTCTGCAGCAGCTCAAGGAGTTTTGTGGCAAGACCCTGGTATCAGTCACTTATACAGTGGTTGGAGCTGCCTGAGGATGAGGAGGAGAAAAAGAAGATGGAGGAGAGCAAGGCCAAGTTCAAGACCCTCTGCAAACTCATGAAGGAGATCCTGTACGAGAAGGTGAGCTGGGCAGGGAGTTCAGCCCTGGGCTGCAGGGGGGAGGGCTGGGCCCTCCATGATGCAGGCAAGGGCCCCAGCTCAAGGCATGCCTCTCATCATCTCCTGCAAAGGAGCTGCTAAAAGAGACTGGAGGTCCCAGCTTGCACCATCTTGCTCTAAGCAGTGAGGCTGCAGCTGAGGGGCACTGACCCAAATACGTACACTGATGGGAGAGGGTAAGTGCAGGAAACATGCAGTGGGTGCTGAAGCTGCTGACTGAGCTGCCCAAACTAGTCTGTGTAGCAGTCCTGGAGCTGCTTGGAGGATCTCTGCTTGCTTTGGGGTCTACCCAAGTGAAGCTGGGGCAAAGATGTGGGGTATCACATGTGCTGTGGCTGGGCCCAGACCAGGGTGCATGGAGACCTTGCTCAGATAACCCTTGGCTACATTGGTAGGTAACTATCTCAAACGGGTTGGTCTCATCTCCCTGCTGCACTGTCACCAGCACCTATGGCTGGACAGCCAACACAGAGCACATCATGAAGGCTCAGGCGCTGTGGGACAACTCTATCATGGGCTATACGATGGCCAAGAAGCACCTGGAGATCAAACCTGACCACCCAGTTGTGGAAACCCTCCGCCAGAAGGCTGATGCTGCCAAGAATGACAAAGCTGTCAAGGAACTGGTGGTGCTGCTCTTCGAGACTGCTCTGCTGTCCTCAGGTTTCTCCCTAGCAGATCCACAGACCCACTCCAACCACATCTACAGGATGATCAAACTGCGGCTTGGTAGGTGTCCACGCAGCTTCTCAGCCTGGAGCAGGTCCTGAAAGCAGGTTGGCTGGTCAGGCTAGTGTGGAACTGTCTTGCAGCAGGGGGAGGCTGGTAAGTGAGCTGTGTTGGAGTGATGTGCAGAACTGGCTGTGTACATAAGGTGGCTACAGGCAAGTGGAAACCTGGAACAAGGTACTTTGGGAGGGCTCAGGGCTTTGAGTGGACTGTCTTGTCCTCCACAAGGCCAGGAGCCACCACCAGGTTGCTCAGATGACAAGCTGAGGCTTTTTATTTCTTCTGAGTGAATGTCAAAAGTCTGTCATGGGTGATGTGACCCATCTGGTGGAACAGCTTGTGCTTGCACCCAACCTTTTTCTTCAGATTGGCTATTTAGGTAAAAATGTAAATCCGGAGGTACTGTGGCTTGGCATAACTACCGGATGCCAATAGCCTTGTCCCTCAGGCTGTGGGCAGGAGCCACCCTCTCCCACCTCTGGGAGAGGCTGTACCTCTGGGAGGCATCAGGCTTCCTCTCTCTCTCTCTGCCATGGGGTCTCCCATGTTCCCAGTAGGCATCAAACGCTGCGCTTGTTCCACTGGGGTGGGAGAGCCCTTCTTCTGAGCTGCTGCCTCCCTGAACCTCCAGGGTAGGACATTGTATTTCAGTTGGCTTGGTTAGTTTTGATTCTTTTTCTGTTGTTTTGTTCTAACTGGACTTAAAAGTTTCAAAGAATGTGGTTTACATGGAGAGGTCCCTTGTGTTTCATGGCTACCATACAGAGGAAGGGGTCTCAGCCAGTGCCTGAGGGTATCAGGCAGCTGATCTCTACCCCTTCCTTGCCCAGCCACCATGAAGTGAGCAGGAGGCAGGGGTGGTGTCACCTCCAGCTGAGCAGCTGCTCTCCACCCAGAGCAGTGCCTGCCCTGCAGCCTGGGAACAAACCTTTTCAATCTGCCTGTGTCAGCTGGGCAAGCTGTGCCAGGACCTGAGCCTGCACTGCTGCTGCCTGGTCTGAGCTGAGCATCCCTGTGGGCAGGAGCTGTGGCAGCAGCCATCTGCCTGTTCCCTTGTAGTGCAGGGGGTGCAGTGACAGCTCAGGAGTGCTACCCCCTGGCTTTTGCCTCTGTCCCAGATGACAGAGAGGCCTGGGGCATCACCTCTGATTCATCTGCCCCTTACAGCCAGCTCATGCTCTACAAGCAGGATTTGTCACCCTTGGCCACAGTGGCCTAGGGGATTTGTCATGGAAGTGACACCAGCATCAAGTTCTCTTGCTGGCTGCTTGCCAGCAGCCACAATCACAAAATGGAGTGGGCTTTAGCCAGCACCCATCTTCAACAAGGAGGGAGGGAGGAGGAGGCAGAGCCTGCTGGAGTCCCTCGCTGCAGACCGAGGCACCGTGGGCACCGCGCTGCAAGTGTGGCTGATGTTTGGGTGCAGGCTGCGAGGGCAGTGCTGGAGCTGAGCCAGCGAATGCCTTCAGGGTGGGTTTCTTTCCCTGAGACAGGAGAAAAACGCTGTTTAAAAGTAAGATTTCTCTCTGGATAGGAAGGTTTTGCTAAATAACAAATCAGTAAAGTCAATTATTCTTTTTAAGTTGGAATGGTTTTGGGTGGGTTTTGTTGCTAATTTTTTCTGTAACTCTACATTTAAATTAGGAACGGGATCCCACTCCCACCCTGGCAGGCAACCTATTTTTTTTTTAACCAAAGGAAAAAAAAATCCATTCCATTTTAGTCTATCAGCAGATGGTGGGGGGCAGACATTTGAGGGAATTTGTAGGGGCAGGATGGAGGGCTGAGGCTGCACAGGCACTTTCAAGAGCTCAGAGCTAGGACAGGAGCACAGGTAAAACTGCTGGAGTGCCAAGTGCTCTGAAGCCGGGGCTGTGCTCAGCACCAGCTCTGCTAACCCTGCTGTCCCAGCTAACTCAGCACTGTGATAAGCAGTTCCTGTCCCTAGCTGTCTCCTCTGTTTCTCTGGTAGCCCTCACCTGAGTCTCCCCTTTCTCTAGCCTGTTATGCCAAGGTCCTGTCTCCGATCCCAGACCTCAACAGGATGAGACCGCACAGTCCTACAGGGAAGGTTTTTTAGCAGGCCTCCTGTATGTACCAGCTGGATGTATGGTCCCCACACCAAGCCTCCCCTGGCTCTGCTGTGGAGCTGGTGTTAGTGCAGATGCAGCCCATACAGGATGGGCTCCCCTCCAGGGCCTGGCTACAGCACTGGTGGCCCTGGCTGTAGGTGCTCATCAGGCCCCTGCACTCTCTCTCTCTAGCTATGCAGGCTGTAGCTACACCCACGGGTGCTGCACCACACAGGGAACCCAGGAGCCAAACCAAAACCAGGCTAACAGCTCCTCCACTTGCCCACCAGCATAAACAGCAGCCCAAACCTGGCTGTGCCTCCCAGTTGTGTGTGCAAGGGTCTTGTGTCTCATGTCTCAGCTATGGGCCCAACCTTGGCTGGTACCTGCCTTGGCAAAGGCAGAGGCACCTGTGTTAGAAAAGACATCTTTGCTGCCCCAGAGAGACTAAGGGCACAGGAAGTGCACACATGCAACCTCCAGGTACGCAGGGGAAAAAATAAAATAATTAAAAGAACATGTAACCCCAGGGCACTATATGCAGCATATTTTTAATTTAATAAAATAAAAAGAGAAAAAGTTGCCTTTCAAAAGTACCAAAACCTGCTGGTTTGTCAGTCAGGTTGTGTTGAGGAGAAAAGGGTTAACCAGTAAAACCCAGGCTTGTGGGGGGAAAGCAGCTTCCACTCCTCTGTCTCCTGCTGCCTGGGGAGCAGGTGCCCACTTGCTCCATCCCCTGCTGCCTGTGGACCAGGAACAAGGCACCGCAAGTGGGCTCTGCCCCATCTCTCAGCCCTCCTGGATCAGTGGGGCTCTGGCCAGGCCCCAGGAAAGCCAGGGCCTACGCCTCCAGTTGGCAGGAAGAAGAGGGGCTATTTGTGCTTTTCTGAATGGCAACTACAAAGCCCAGAAACCGTGGCACTGAGACACCCCAAGGCAATGCTGGGGCTCCTGGGCAGTACAGCCTTTGGCCTGTAACAGCAGCAGATGTGACCAAAAAGCAACCTAGAGCTCAGCAAGCCTTGGGAACCGTACCGGCCAGCCTCAGTCTCTGCATAAAAATCAGTCCAGGCTGAGGGCAGCAAGGAAAAGTGTCTCGGAGCAGGGGGAGAGAACTGATAAAACCAAACTAGGAGGTGCTGACTTTCACTGCAGAGTGCCCTCCCAGAGCAGATGCCAGGCCTGGGGTAGGACAGGCTGCCAGTCCTTCCCTCAGCTGTGCCTGTCCTACCTGGAGCACCTCCTTGCAGGGGGGCTGAGAGCTCACCCCCTTGGGACTGGCTCAGCTTGGGACTTGCCTCACGTGGAGATGTTTCAAAAAGGAAGCTAGTGTTTTGCTTGCCCCTTCCTCCTGCTGAGCTCTGTAGTAGTAACAGAAATGGGGGAGCGTTAGCCAGAGGCAAGACGGTGCCAGGGAAAAGAGCTCCCTTGTTCATCAGTGACTTTGGAGAGAAGCCACAAGGTAGAAGTGGGGCAGGAGTACCACCAGCCCCACGCTGGTTTTCCCCCAGGATTCGAGCCCCCAAGCCCGTGCCTTGGCTGGAAGTCTTTGACCTATTAAGGCAAATGGAAAGGTTTGGAGCTGTGGCAGCCCAGAGCATTTTCTGGGCTTGTTCCAGCTCCTTTCCCAGGAAAAGCAGGTGGAAAAGTGAGTCACTAGTCCAGCTTATCCATACCCCACCCTGCTCCTCAGCGAGTTCTGAGAAATCAAGCAAGTACCCCCGAGTAGAGGCAGGACAAGCAGGCATGGCTTAAAATGCCATGGCCCCAGCTCCTTAGACCTTCTGTACAGGCGTCTCGCCCGGCGGGAGCTTCTTACTGCGCTTCTTCATGCGGCTGCGGGCGTAGACGCGGAGGAAGAGGGCCACAAAGACGACAGCTACGCCTAGCCCACCCACAACAGTGACAGTGTGCCCATAGATGAGGCAGGAGAGGAGGATGGCAAAGGCCTGGCGGAGTGTCATGATGATGGTGAAGACGGCTGCTCCAAACTGGTTGATGGTGTAGAAGATGAAGAGCTGGCCAAAGGCAGAGCACACCGAGAGCAGCACAGCGTGGGCTGTGAACTCTGAGTGGCGGGCCATGAAGCGTAACGACTCCAGCAAGGCACCCTGCTCCAAGAGCGAGCCCACCGTGAAAAGGCAGGAGAAGACATTGACGCCAAACATCATCTGCACAGGAGACATCTTGTAGGTGAAGAGGGCATCCTGCCAGTTGGAGGTGAAGCTGTCAAAGATTACGTAGCCGGCCAAGAGGACTACGCCTGAGAAGGTGGTGACAGTGGACACATGCCTGTTGGGAGCACTGGAGAGCAGGAACATGCTGACTCCCACGGAGATGAGGGCAGCAGTCAGGTACTCCCAGTACTCATAACTCTTGCGTGACACCAGCTTGCCCATCATCATCACAGGGATCACTTTGGAGGCCTTGGCCAGCACTTGGGTGGGGAAGCTGATGTATTTGAGTGCCTCATACTGGCACCAGCTGCTGAGAATGTTGGAGAGGGAGGCAAAGGAGTATTTGTACATAGGAGCCCCGTGGCGTGGCTGCTTGGTCAGGGCGCAGTACAGACCAGCCACCGTGAAGGCCAGGATGCGGTTCATGAACACTAGGAACTGGGAGTCCTTGAACTTCTCACCAGGGTCTGTTTCAGTGGCACCATACGTTCTCGTCATCACACGCTCCTGGAGGACGCCCCATGTGAGGTAGGAGGCCTGCAAAGCAGGAGGAGCACAGGGAGAATCAGGACCTGCAATGGCAGCTGTAAGCAACTATGGAAGCACAGACTCCAGGAGATCCTTGCTTGCCCCAGCATTGCCTCACCCCCTGCATGACAGGACACTGGGAGATGGGCCCACTCCACCTGTCTGAGGGAACCCACTGTCCTGCATGGTTACAACCAGGAACATCCTATCCCAAACAAAACCTGCTCAATTTACAGCCTCCCCAAGGGGAGAGAAGCCCACAAAGCAAAACATCCTGGTGTACAAGAGCAGTTGCGTGTTAAGCTGCACCAGCCGGACAGGATCAAGGAACGTTACCAACACACAGCTGTGGCTTTGGTGCCAGCTCCCTGCAGCAGGTCCTGGCAGTTTTCCCAGTGGACTCTGCATTGGTTTTCACTTCCAGCTCCCTAAGCCCACTTGTTCCATCCAATAAATTCTAGTTTCAAACCCAGCAGACAAAATTGTCCTCCAGGGATCATCTCCACTACTTCTGGTGCGACGATAGCAAGCCCTTCACAGAAGTAACACAGACTTCCTCTCACTACACATCGCCTCTTGGGAAACTGAGGCACAAAGAGATCGAAGGACTTGTTGGTGTCCTTGCAGCAAGTCTGAATGGGCTGGGATAAAAGGCCAGAGAGAAGGTGTCTTCTGCTGGCTGTGTGGGTTTTTTCTATCACGATGCCCACATTTCTATTTTTAGTTCTCACAGCCCCAAAAAGCTGCCCTTCCTAATGACAATCAGGCTGTAGCTCAGACTTAGGGAAACTAAGATTAAAAATTCCTGTTTCTCTCCAGTATTTGAATCCAATCCATCAAGGCAGGATGCATCAGGCCCAGAAGGTGACCCAGAGGACAGTCTAAGAGATAAGAGGGCTCAAAATATCTGCTGCTCTGACATGAGGGCCAGAATTAAGAGCAGCCCTAACAATCTGCTGAATCACAGAATTTTTCCTATCCGTGGCTGCAGAGGACTGTGATCAGATGGATAGGAGGTCCCAACCCAGATGACACCAGCTAAACAGACCTCCACAGCCCTTAGAAGTGACACAGCAGCCCTGGTGGACTATCCTGGTTGAGAGGCTATGTCCCAGCCTCCAACCCTGCCCCAATCAAGGACAGCACCACTTCCCTGGTCTTCAAGGAACTGATGGCCACAAACCCACTGCCCACCTCTTCCTCCCAGAGTGGGATGACCACACACACATGCACAGGGCCCCTACCTGTAGACCAGCAGCACAGAACAGCAGCTTGAAGACCTGTCGGGCTGTAGAGGACTCCGTGGGCTCCGCTCGGGGTGGCAGGGAGCCATCCTCCTGGTGTACAGACTTCACCTCAGAGCCAAACACGCATGACTTAATGACAGGGAAGCAAATGCCTCGGCCTGAAGGGTGTAAGGGAATGTAGAGACAGAATTAACCAGAGCCTGGGCATCACAAGCCACCCCAGCTTGAGAGGTGAAGCCTCCCTCCATACTAGCCTCTGCATCTGCTGGCACAGGGGCCTCAGAGAAATTTGTTTCAGGGTAGCACCTAGACAGTTCTGGGATGCAGCTCTGCGAGCAGCTCACTCCTGGTCTGACAAAGCAGGTCAGAGGAATGGGGAACCCGTCAGCACTGAATGGGGTGTGGAGAGCTCACAGGGAGGTGGGATGCTCACAGGAAGGGAAGCTCCTGCCCTTACCTGTCTCCAGGTAATTCCTTCTCTTGAAGTACTGGATGAGGAGGAATCCTGGCACCACAATACTCGCATAGCCAGCAGCATTAACAAAGAAACGGAAGAGCCAGAAGTCGCCCCATGAGTCCTGCAGGGCAGGGGAGATGTCTTCGCCAGTAGCCATGGTAGGGAGGGAAGCCAGCACGAGGGGAAGGCTAATTCTGTGGAGAGACAAAGTGGCAGGCAGTGGGCAACTGGCACACAGCCAGCTCTGCTCCACATGCCTCTGCCACCCGCTGCCCAGCCTGCTTCCCACCAGCAGACAGCACCCAGATCCCACGACAGCAATGAGGGCAACACATGGAGTAGGAAAAGCCCTTTAGGGTTGAAGAGCACTTGCACTAACTATGTTTGCTTCTTTTAAGGGTGTCTGCTCTGGCTTAGGAACACGTGGACTTCCAGGATCGGAGAGAACATTTGAACACTGTTGTAACCATCCGGTTTTGACAACGCCCCTACTCACACCTCACCTTTTTAAGTTAAACTTTAGCGCAGCTCCTGTGTGGAAAAAGGTCACTGAATGGAAAAAGTGACTCCTACCTAGCAGCTCGTGTTTCATGCCTGTGGCCAGAGCGGCCTTCCTCTGAGAGCAAACTGTTCTGAGCTTCCTCCTCTGGCTGCACCAGGTGAGTGGAGGAGAGCCGGGGAGGGCTTGGGCTGCCAGCCTCCCCCACCTTTCCAAGCAGCCCTGGAAGGGAGCGTGCCAAGGCATTCCCCACAGCTCAGAGGAAATCACCAGGGCTCACCCACTTGGCGAGACACAGCCAGAGAGCGAGGCTGGGAAGGAACTTTCCTACCAGCTGTCTGGTTGGGGTTTTACTAGGACTACCTGATAAGGTATAGCTATAGCCCGAGGTGCTGACCTACCCAGCTTTAAAACAGCTTTAATACTCCCTGAAGAAGTTCTGCCCCCCACTGCCCCTTCCCTCTCAGAGGCAAACCTGTGATATTCAGGGGCCACGCAAAGAACAAGAGCACCAGGTACACAACAGAATGAGCAAGCTGGCAAAGACTTCCTACACCCGAGGCTGCCTGCATCCTCCTCTCTCACAGCGAGCTGTGGATTGCTGCATCAGGGTAGGAGGTTTCCTTGGTCCAGGCTCTATCCCTGCCTCAGTTTCTCCGCTAGAAAAAGCCTCTGGGTTGCCTTGGGGGCCAGGTGAGGGTGCTGTGGGGCTGGCTACGTAAACATGCACAAGAAGCAGCTTTGGGCTCCTGTGATGGAAAGGGACAGAGATGTTAATTGCTGCTGCCCCGCACCCCAAACAACTGAGGAATTTAGGCTCTGTGAGGTGTACCTGGACCCAACATAGCTGTGACCTCTAGTAGCCCTCACATGAAACTCAGAGACCTAAAAACTTAGAGCTTTAAAGGCAAGAAAGTCCCCTGCCACTTAATGAACAACAAGTCCTCCCCACCAACATCTTGTCCCCTTGGGAAAGGCCTGAGGGGCTTTTCTTATCCTCTCTTGCTGTGGTGAGGACCCCAGAGTCCAACAACCTGACCTAAGCTGAGGCTGTATTTCACCCTGAAATCTCCCTTCTGTGACTTAAAGGACACAGAAATTCCCAGCCCAGGGAGAAGTGCAAGCAGCTGGGGGTAGGCTTCTGTGCCTGTTTCCTATTCCTCCCTGCTCTCCCCTGTAGAACAGGCAGTTTGACACTTCCACCCTTGTCCTCCCTCCCGCTGCAGGGGCATCACTGCAGGCTGTAGGGGTTTGCACAGAATGCAAGAACAGGGCTTGTTGCAGGCACCTGGGGCAGAAGTTGCCCACATGCAGCCCGTATTAAGTAACCCTGGTTGATCACAGCAGCCCTCTTGCCAGGGAGAAGGTGCAGAAATGCCGTTCACTTTTGCAGAAGTGAGGTATAAACAGCAGGGTCGGTTGCTACACTCGTGTGCCACGTCTGCCTTCAACTTGACAAGAGACCGACAGCCAGCCGGCTCCGTTCGCTGTGACTGCGGCTGCTGTCACCTCGCTGGCCCCCTCAGCGCTCCCACGGGAGAAGAACCAGCTCTGCTCTCCCACGGCGACCGTGAAGAGGAGGCTATGGAAGGACAATGGCTCTCTCTGTGCCTGCGCTAGCAACTCCCCGGCCCCGAGAGCTGACTCAGTGCAGCAGGCCTTGCCCTCCCCGCCGAGGCTGGGAAGGAACAGGCACGCCAGTGTTACAGGTAGGAAG